CTTGGTCATGTGACCGGAAGAGGCTAACACTGCGTAACCGAAACTGAATATTATACCTCCCAGATACCGGTTGGGCACTCTAACCAATAAGCTTCGGAGAGACTTTTAGCCAGCTAGACCATTTACTCCAATAATGTATAATGTGTTGTTACTACACGCTACATGAAGAGACACGGTATTAGTAATAGTAAAGGAGAGGTAGAGTATTCGTCTTCTAGTTGAATAATATCGCTTTCCATCATTTCAGGATTCACAAGGACAGATCTTTTCATTGTGACGTGTGTAACGTTTGTCTTGACAAACGGCTTCAAGGAAAACACAAGTGCAGACCAGACTCAGGACACGATGAGTGCTGCATTTGCTTGGAGGTAATTGCATGCATCACTTATAGAAGCCATGCCGTTTTTTTGATCGTGAAAACGCGTGCAGAGTATGTAAGTAACGCGTGGGGAAGGCTAAGAAACATGTCGACGGTGAGAGATTATCTATGGCGTTGACTTGCTCGGCGGCTGAATGCTACAGAACTTAATATCAACGTGTTTGAAAACCGAGCAGCATGGTAAATTACAATTGGTTACACCAAAAACTGACATGACGGAAAGCCGATCAATAACTTTTACCTGCTTGGTTTTTGTTTTAATTTACTTCAAGTTTTGTTTAATTTTGGGCGATGCTACAAACATCTTCCGAAATGTGACATTACTTGAAAAATCGATCAACATCACCATTCACAATTTTCCTACTATTTATTAACCACTTGAAATATCGATAAAATTGAGGCAAACACTAGGCTGGGTTTGGAAAAATACTCTTTTATTGGATCATCTTCTTCCCTATCGGCTACGTTCCTAATAACAATCAGACAAGCGAATTCAGACGCGAATATAATGAATAGTTTTCCAAACAAACTCAGTTTCCAAATAACTGTCATTCCCTTAACCTTATATTAAACAAAGTTCAAGTTGAGCGGTTGATTGTGAGCTGTCTTTATTGTGACGATGGAGTCCGCTCTACTGGAGATGAACCACCGTCTGACCGTCGTCTAAAGAATGGAGCATGTTTGTGTTGGTGATAGCGAATCAGGACGGCCTTTTTCCTCTTCTGTTCTTTGTCATCCGCACGGCCTGGTGTATTCCCGCCGACTGCTAGCGTGTTTGGCCTGGACTCCGCTTCTAGTGAACCAGCTG